CGTACACATACACATACACATACACATACACATACACATACACATACACATACACATACACATACACATACACATACACATACACATACACATACACATACACATACACATACACACACATACACATACACACATACACATACACACATACACATACACATACACATACACATACACATACACATACACACACACACACCAGATGCACCAAAGTGAACAAATTGTAACACAAACACAGACGAACTTTAAACAGCGTTTCATTGCCAACTGTCAACTCATATCCGATTCAAGACACCCACCCGGGTTTCGGAGTCGCACTCTCCAAGTCCACCCAAGTCCAGCAGGGAAAAAGAGAAAACAAACCAACTGACATACGGCTGCGAGCGAGCATCATCTGGAATGTAAATCTTTTGTCCATATCATCGCCCCAATAACCTTATCTCATCTCTTTCGGTGCAAAAGCGCGTCTGTTATGCGTTGCGGTAAAAAAATGCGTTTGAGACCACCTATGAAGAGCCACTCAGGCCACGTTTTCAATCAAATCCGCCATTTCCCTCGAGCGAAGGAACGGAGGAGCGAGCGGCACAATGTGTGGCGTAAAAGTGCGTGGCTCCGCTTCCCAGGTGGTGGTTTATGTTCGTACCCTGGTGCTTGGCCGTTGATGATCCACCCTTGCTGCGCCCCGCGGGTCATACAGTACGTCAAACCCCCATTCGTACTGCTGTACTCCAGCCTGTAATACTACTGCTAGGCGTACTGCCTGTACTATTCTACACCCAAGTACGGCATATCTAGGATGGAGAGCGACTGTCGAAAAAAGGCTATTGTAACGGCAAAAATGGACCTGCTGAAGCAAAAAAAGTAAGTAGTCGTTTATTTCAGGACCATTAACACCGGCGTGTGTCTAAGGATACCAGCGATGGCATAAGGGGTTGGGAGTCGATAGTGGTCATCACTCAGTGGTATTATGCATAGGATTGTGCTCGCAGGAATACACACAAAACGCCTGCGGCTCCTGTCTATCGGCCCATCCTTGGTTGCCCGCAGTCTTCCGATGCCGTCCACCACTGACTGGCACATGCGGCTATTGGATGCCTCCTCCCAACCCGACCGCATCACCTCACTGGGCACCAACTCAGCACTGACATGGAGCGCGCATCCTCCTCGCCCTCGCGCTGGCTGTGAAATTGACATGTGGAATATGCAGATCACTGACCAATCGGGGGCGGACTGGGACCTGTTGGGAAGCTGGGCGATCTAGGATAGGTTACGCTCCTTTAACCTGTTGCGACCCGACCCGGGCTCGAATCGACGTCCCGGCGATTGCGAACCGACATTCTTGAGGATTGGCTGCTCCGCCATTTTAACAATTGAGACTGAATTTCAGCAGCAAGCAAGGCCGATATATTTCGACGATAGCGGTTCCCAACCCCCCATAAGGCAAGTGAAGCAATGTCCGTTCTGGAATGAATCCCCAAACCAAGAAACGAACAAGTCGACCTCGCCAGGTAGTCAGCCAGCCAGCTGCAGCTACTCCAGGTTCTGAACGTTTGTGGCCTCGTCTGTCGTACCAACATATGCAGCAAAAGTTGCCGTATCTATCGTACTCGCGTCCAGCCTAGCGATTTCCACCCAGCCGCCACCGACCGCAATGCCGCCGCCGCTGCTGACGATGGCAGCGCAATGCGCGCCGCCGCCGCGGCGGCCGCCGCTTCCGCCGGCAGTACCTTGTGACGCCGCCGCCGCCGCCGCCGCCGCTGGCAAATCTGCCGCCGCCGTCCCTATCTTTGCGGCCGTTGTTGCAGCGGCAGCAGCGGTGGCAGCTGCTTCAGCCCGAGCTGCGTCCTGACGCATTCGCTGCAACTCCGTCAGTATGGCCTCGAAGCTTGGCCTGAGGGGTTGGCATTTCGTTGAGCTTGTCAAGTAGTGGGTGATGCGTAAGCGCTTGTTAATATCTGGTAACAGGTATTTCACTCAGGTAATTCAAACTTCTGTTATTTATGGAATTTGTAGCTTAGATGCGGCAGGAGCAAAGCGAGTATAGCCTCTAAGCTAGGTTATGTACGGCAGCCGTATGGCTTGCTGAGAATTCGAATTTACTATTTCAGCTGACAGCTCCATAGTTCCGGCATTCTGCCTACACTATTGGAGCTTATTATTATTGTTGCTCTCACTTTTTTCCAAGACCTTACCGACTACCCTCAAGCCTCATCGACGCTCTACCACAACGAATCGACATCGCCGCGGACTTGTCACTCTCCGAGGAACAACCAGGAGCTCCGTCACAAATCAAAAAATGACGGGTAAGAGGACAAAGGCAACGGGAGATAACCTGGTCAACGCAGGAGCGGCCGAAGCAGCCGGCGAAGGGGGATCGGGCCAGATGCTGCCAGCCAACCAAAACGACATAGAAGCCGCCAGGGATACTTTGAGCGGGAACATAGACCAGCCGACTCTTCACCAGCTGCTGCTGGGCGTCCTGTCAGCAGCGCAGGCCAACGCCCCAAAAGCGCCAGCCAGGGATCCCCAGACAGCACCGCCTCGGGATCGCTCTCCTGACGTTGTCATCACAAAAGACGTGACCATCATGCCATCCGCAAGAGAACAGCTAGCAGCAATAAGGACGGAAGTTCAAGCGAATGACGCACCGAAGCTGACAGCCCCACACGAGCAGCGGGAGCAGCTCGACGAAGGAACGCTAATGCTGCTAGAGACCGCCATCACCGCGCTGGATGCGAACGAACCCCAGCTGGCCGTCGCGGGAGAATGCCTCAAGATCGCTCACCGCCGCCTTAAGTGCTACTCCGTTGCTCTGGCCAAGGCGGCCCCAGGAGCCAACGGTAATTTCACGGCCCCCTACGAAATCTGGCACGGCAGGCGGCGCAACTTCACCAAGCCCGAGTTCAAACCAGAGGCCATAGATAAGGGCGACATAGAGAGTGCATTAGCTAAAACGCGCAAGTCGGTGGCGGCGGACAGGGACGGTCAGGCCGGGTCCCTCTGGCGAGGGAGAGACCGGCAGGGTGGAGTGCGGGATTCGTTTGGTAGTGCACGCCGGAACGACCGCAGCCGCTATGACCGCTACGACCGGCGCAGCCAGCGTGACCGAAGCCGCTCTCGCAGCCCGGCTAAGCGTGGCTGATTA